GGATTCACTCACGCTTCTGGGCTCACGCATTCTTCTGGGCTCCAAGGGATTTTGGCAGCTCCACTTCTGACTCTGCCATCCACAGCACACACAGCTTGTCTCGCAGACGCAGGCCGACTCCATTCCACACCTGCTGCTGCCCTTGGTGGTCGTCCCATAGTCCTGACATCTCCAAAAAGCTGGGGTTTCCACCAAAACTGAGGCTGCACCCTCACCAATGGCTTCTTCTGGCCTCTGAGTGCAGTGCCTCAGATTCTCTCCATGACCCCTTTGATCCTGGGGTTGTCGCTGAACTGCACTTTCACCAATGGCTTTTCCTGGCCTCTCAGGGTGCCAAGTCTCAGCTGCTTCCTGTGACCCCTTCACACTTTCAACACCAACTCTTTCAGCATAACTGTTCTGAGCTCCACAGCAACAAACTGTAAGCACTCAGTGGTTTTTCCAGCCCAAAGCTCCAAACACTTCCACAATCTCCAGCGTCAGGTCTGTCACAGCAGTGCCTGACTCTCTGGTACCAATGTCTGTCCTAGTTTGTTTCTCCACTGTTGTGACTAAATACTCTGATCATTACCAACTTGGAGAGGAGAGGGTATATTCGGCTCACATCTCCCGGGTCACAGTTCATCAGAGAGCCCAGGGCAGGAACTCAGGGCAGGAACCCGGAGTCAGGAGCTGGAGCACAGCATGGAGGAACGCTGCTTACTGGCTTGCTCCCCTGGCCCCTGCTCAACCTGCTTTCTTATACAACATAGGCCCACCTGCCCAGGGGTGGCACCACCCACAGTGGGCTGGGCCCTCCTACATCACTCAATAATCAAGAAGATGCCCCACAGACATGGCCATAGGCCAGTCCAATAGAGGCAATTGCCCAATTAAGGCTCCCTCAACACAGGTGTGTCAAGTTGGCATTAACGCTATCCAGCACATGGTTCTTCGCAGAAAAGGGGGAGATGACAATTTTCCATTAAGTTGAATGACAGACATGCTTATTTTAGTGAGGTTTATAGCTCATGCATACACATTTTCCTTAAGAAACTCTCAGGGTTGTCATTCTGGGTTACCAAATCAGCTTGTCCCAAGCTTCCATTCTCGAAACCATCTCACAAAAATTGTCACAATGAAGTGGTGCTGAAATGAAGACATTAAATATAACTTAAAATTCTTCATTTGTACCAGAGAATGAGGCTGGTTAGGCTAGGCATGACTTAAGTCTTAGGAACCTAGGCCAGTTGCCTGTTACGTTTCCCCCTAAATTTGAACATTAGTACTTTTTTTGAGAGAGGGTCTCACTAAACAGGCCTAGGTGGCCTGGAACTATGTAAATCAGATTGGCTTCAAACTTGCAGAGATCAGCCTGCCTCGCCCCTCCAAGTGCTGAAACTGAAGGAGTGTATTTTTTTTTGAGACAGGGTCTCACTAAACAGGCCTAGGTGGCCTGGAACTATGTAAATCAGATTGGCTTCAAACTTGCAGAGATCACCCTGCCTCGCCCCTCCAAGTGCTGGAACTGAAGGAGTGTATTTTTTTTTGAGACAGGGTCTCACTAAACAGGCCTAGGTGGCCTGGAACTATGTAAATCAGATTGGCTTCAAACTTGCAGAGATCACCCTGCCTCGCCCCTCCAAGTGCTGAAACTGAAGGAGTGTATTTTTTTTTGAGACAGGGTCTCACTAAACAGGCCTAGGTGGCCTGGAACTATGTAAATCAGATTGGCTTCAAACTTGCAGAGATCAGCCTGCCTCTGCCCCTCCAAGTGCTGGAACTGAAGGAGTGTACCAAGCATGTTACCTAGTACTTTTAAAGGTTGCCAAACATCCCTGAATTTACTTCCAAAATTTGTTTGCATACACCTCAGTCTTTTGTGGCTATTTTCTAGGATCCTCTCAAATAACACTGGTTCCTTTTCCTTTTGTTAATGGTGTTACAAGGCTGTTACCTTCCCTACCAAGTGGGATTTGATTTCCCTAATCTTAGCTCAGATAGTTAAAAGCCTTTTTCATTGTCTTGGGCTTCTGGGGGTGGGGGTTACCTCTGTACAACTGAAGCTGTGAGATGACACTATTTTCTGCTGTATTCATTTTTCTGTGCGTGCCTACTTCCAAACTTGGCATTGATCTTTCAATTTTCATCATCTTAAAATTCCAACCGCTCACTGCTCAGAATCTATCTTGAGGTTTTATTGCCTTTGGGATTTCTAAAAATTTGCAGTCATAGGTTAACATTTGCCTTTTTAAAAGGTGACTTCTGAAATTAGACTTCCTAAAAGTTACAGATAATGTGTCACTAACTGCAGCAAATATTCTCTCATGCTCTAAGATGCCAGGAAGCTTGGAACCTAGGAACCCAGGTTCCTGCACTTTCTGAAGGACCAGGAGTCAAGCAGAAGCACAGGAAATGCTGGCCAGTGTGCAGTGGCCAGATCAGGCCGAGTGGTCCATGGACAGTTCTTTTGGAAGAAGACGAGAAAGGAAGTCTATGTCACACAGCTACTGTTGGACAAAGATAAATCCAAATTATTACGTTCAATTTAAATTTATTCTAATGAAACATTTTTTCCTTTCCTTAACAAAGCTCCAGAGAAACTAAAAACCTGAATAAGGTGTCTAGAACTTCTTTTTCAAAGAGATGCCCTACTTCAGGAACTTTCTTCATCACTTGTATTATCTGAAATCTCACATTCAAGAACAGAATTATCGTATCTCTTTGGTTTACATAGCAATAAAAGATAACCACATCTTAACTGACCATGAAAAGATTGTTTTATTCCATGAAAATATTCTCAACAGAGAACACTATCATAAACAAAGCGTTTGCCATTAAGAAACCAACATGTGCACAAAGAGTGAAAGTTACTGCAAAATAAGATTTCTTCTAGACAGTTCACATGTTCAAAGTTTAGGAATGATTTAAGAATGATTTAAACTGTGCAAGTACAAATGTCTTTCAAATGTTATAACCATATACAGGTTGCACTATTCCACATGAAGGAACTTGCCTCCTACGGAAGCAAATCCTGCTTTAGAAAAACGAACAGTTGCTTGAAAAGAACAGTCCTTATAAGAAAGCCTTGAACTTTGCCCTCTGTGGTTGTTAGCCAGAAAAACATAAGCACTTCTGACTTTGTACAGAGGACAAGCATGGCCAGATCACATTTCCTTCTCATCGCTAACTTCTGAAAACAAAAATAGCACTAGTTTTTAAAAACTACTTCATGTAGTCTGTCAGTATTGAATAATGTCACATTATATAAATAACCCTGTAACAAGATTTAATATCTAAACTGTATAGTTTACTAGCCTCAAAGGTAATACACTATGTCAGCTGCATAACAGTGGTGTACTTGATCTTATGAAGGCATTAACGTCACACAATTGTCATTCAGCTTTAGTATAACTGGTAGTATGATTCAAACAGCACTGGAAAAATTATTAAAGCAGTCACACAGCTTCTAAAATATTGCTTGAAATCCAAGAATAACACAGAACATTTCACATTCTTTCTCCCCTCAAAACAGTAAAGAACCAAATTAATGAAGCTTCAATGGTACAAATATCCCTCCCACCCCCCTCACCTTCCTGTTACAAGACCACTAAGAAATTAGTTCAAATACAAGTCATTAACAGAACCACAAATTCGAGGCAGGACAACATGAGCAATGGGGGCACTAACGACAATCATATTTACAAGTATAAACATACAGAAATTTCCATTTTACAAGTAAAAGTGCACATAGATCATTACAAAGTTTCACTAAATTTTATCTGGTTCAAACAAAAGCATCACTTGGAAACAGACTATCATTGCAATAATCAAATGAGATCATCATAACCCCAAGTTAAAAGACAATGGGGATGGTTCGTAAAACTTCTCATAAATACGCCGATGAAAGTAAAATGGACTCAGACATGTCTTTAGTTTGATGCAAAAATTTGAAGATGCACCATTGCACATGGTAGAGCTCTAAAAGCCACCTACCAAGGCCACATCAGCAGCTGCAGCAGTGCTGCAGAGTTAAAGGAGGTCGCTCTGAGCTGACACATAAAGCCCTTTGTGGGATACTGTAGTGGTAGTGTTGGCAATCAACAGATTTAGGCACTCGAGTTTAAGGCAGCATTTGAATGGAAGCAGCTGACTTTTGACAACAGTCCTTTGTCTTGAGGTGGTGAGTATCTTCTGTGTTTATTATGCCAGGACTTCAGTGCTGACTATAGATTCTTCCCAGACTGAGGTGCTGAAGATGTGTCACATTTCACAGAGTTCTTTCAACTGGGCTGTAGGCTAGAGCAGAGATGTTTTCTTTTTCTTATCATAAATACTTCAGGTTCACAGACTATGTCTTCATAATGCCAAAACTGGAATGTTTGCAGTGGGGAAGTTATAGCAGCATACACAAATACTAAGATGGAAACATTAGTGCTGGAGATGTCTGACAAAGTGATTTGCACTACAAATGCAAAACAAAGGCTTTGACAAGAACAAGGGATTACAAAGACATGCCTGAAAAATCTAAGCCCGGATCACTCTAGACATGCAACAGGATGTTGTTAAGCAAGCATGGAGGTGGCGCAGGCAGACACTGACACATGGTAAGGGTTCTAACAGACAGTGGCTCTAAAAGCCAATTAAAACAGAGCTGGATGAAGACAGTCCTATCGGGACAGCCCAAAGAAAGACAAACTACATGACAGCTCTGCATTCTTTCTGATTTGGATAGCAGTAAAATAAATGAAAAAAGGGTTGGCCATTTTTGGCTTGTTTCTTTCTTCCATGTGAACTGTGAACTAAGAATTTAAGGATTGGTACTATAATGACTTTTTAAATGTATGGAAATGCTAATGAAGTTAGTAAAAAAAAAAAGTCTGCATGCACTCATGCAACTTGCTTCTCTCACTCTCTCCTTGAGCCTGACAACTCTAATACCCTCCCCCCAAAAGCAGCTGCATGTAACCTCCTTCAACATCTTGCCCATTTCCTCAGAAACCCTCTTCAGGAACCTGCAGTCCAGGAGGAAAAAGAAAAAAACAATTACTGAAGACCTTTGGTAAGACCAAAAGGGGTATTCAGTTTAAAGTGTCCGTCTCAAATGTCCTAAAATCATTTTATAGTCAGCTATTAAAAACATCAGAAATTTTGAAACATAAGCAAAAAGGTCAATGTTACTGCTTCCTCCCTTCCCCATTCAACTAACAGAGGACGTGACCACATGACTACCACTGTATAACTCTTGAGTATACAATTCTAACACATGCTCGTGGAGATAAATGAGAAAAAAAGGAATCCACTGGGGATCCAGCTAAAATGAATGTTTTAGCAGATATTTTCCTTCAACTGAATTAGTCAAAAAAAGCTGTTTCTCTTCTAAAAGTAAACTTTGCCAATATATCTCCTCCATTCCAGGCTTTCTTCTATCTTCACTGACTTAGAATATATTTTTCCTATGTGTAACTGCCAAATGCTAAGTAATCATTAATGTGATATTCCAAAAAGACATTTTCAAGTGAAAATAAAAGCCTAAGATTAACTTGGAATGAACTCTGCACATTATTGAAAATTACCAATAAACCTGCAAATATTTTTAGGTCTCAATGATATTTTTTCACATCAGAGCTAGACATGGTGACTTTACTTGATTATGTACTGGGTACTCATTTTCTTCATTTAGGAAATCAAAGTTAAGAACAGCAAGGAAAATGACTGTACCCAATTATCCAACTATCACTTTTTTTCCTAGAAATTGAAGCTGTAATTGAAGCTCCAGGTTGGGAATCCACTCTTGGGAATCAGCTTTCATAGTTCAGAGCAGGTTTACTTATCTGAATTCACCACAGTTTCTGTGTTTTCTGAAGCACAGGGGCAGAGAACATTCTACCTAAGACTCTTGCCTGATAATCAAATTCTATTTATAAGGCAGAAAAGCACACACCTTTTACACAGACTTAAGCAGGACATAAAGCAAAAGGCATCAATTAAGCTTCCACACCAACGTTACTCAAAAGGTAAGGCGTCACAAAGAGAGTGTCTTGTGGCAATATTCACATCTCTCTGGTCAAGTCTGCACTCAGCTCACATAGTGAACAATAAATCAAGATGCCCTTTAACCTTTTTGTTTTTCTGACCTGTTGAGTGTGTTTTCATTTTATGGTATCGCCCCTAAGTCATACATGGCAAAAAGCTGCCTGGTTAGTTTAGATGTAAGTTACTGCACCTTTACTGTTTTTCTCTAGAGTTACATCTATGTATGACGTGGGAACGTAGCCTTCTTCGCCATTCTGTCTCCGGGCTCTTGTCCATCCATCACCTTTGTCCTCCTCAATAATGTATAGAACTTCACCTTCTTTCATTGCCAGAGTACCTTCATTATGCCCTAAATGAGAGTTTTCATAGCACAAGCATGATTAAAACACCACGGTAAGTTTTTAAGTTATAAAATACAACATGATAAATAACATGAAACCCACTAGCTATCATAACTGGATCCAAGACACCACAGACTGTTGTTACCAACAACATCTTTCCTGTGATGCTTTGTAGTTTACTCAAGACTTTCATGCACATAAGCCTGTGAGGCTGTTACAATCACATACCTCCCCGCCACCCGTCAAGAAACAGATATAGTAACTAAGCCAGGGCAGCACTATGTAATTTGACAAGGTATTCTAACTCCTATTTCACAATTCTAATTCTTTTCTCAAATTTCAGTAGTGTTCCTATCTAAAAACTTCATGATATATGAATCATGAAAATAGTAAGAATGTGAGCAGGTAAAAGGAAGAATATAGTTTAGAGAGAGTAAAGAAAAATATAGGCTTAATGATGCATGCAGAAGTAAAATGGCCACAAAGCACAATATTCCTTCAAGACCTCATCAGCCTCAGGACGTCTTCGGTTCTCACCTCAACCACTACATGTTTGGCAGTACAATTTACTTGAGTGAAACTCCATTTAACACTTGCTAAGATTCTTCTTTTTTCTAGATTAGATTCTAGAAAGATCTTAATATATTTTCTTTTCTTTTTTGAAAATTAGGAGCTGAAGAGAAGGCTCAGTGATTAAAATACTTGCTGCACAAGCATAACAACCACAGTTTGGATCTCAAGAACCCACATAAATGTTGGAGTGGCGGCCCACAGCCCAGGAAGGCAAAGCCTGGGGATCCTCAGAGCACACTGGCTAGCCAGACTAGCCATACCAGGTGGGTGTGACTGAGAGGCACTGCCTCATTGAGTAAGATGGAAGAGCAATCAAGGAGGACTCCTGACATCAACTTTAGGCTTCCACATACAAAATCACATACATGTACATGCATACCCTCCATATACATACAAACATGCATGTACCATACATAATGTGCGGAAGTCAGTTAGTTCTCTCCTTCTACTATGTAGGTCCCGGGACCCAACTCAGGTTCTCAGGCCTGGTGACAAGCACTTCTACCCACTGAGCCATCTCTCTACCCATTTAAATATATTTTCCAAGAATGAAGAGTAACTAAAGACTACACAATTTTAAAACTAACATATGGGTGGGTAGAGAAAGATGTTAAGTTGTAGACCATTTTATAACAATTATTTATGAAAGTGTTACTCTGCTCTTCTGTTAATTGAGGAAGAGCAGAGTCCAAGAGAAGTCAGAGTAACTAAAAGTCTACAGAGAGGACCACAACCTTTCTCCTCTCCCAAAGGCTGTTCTCTAGTCATCATAGGAGAAGGTACAGCAGTCAGAAGCTACCATTTTCCTTGACACTCTCATCAGAAGAGGAAGCCTGGGGCTGGAGGGATGACACAGCAGTTAAGAGCACTGACTGCACTTGCAAGGACCCAGGTTCGATTCCCAGTACCCACATGGCAGCTAACAACCCTTTGTAACTACAGTTCTAGCGGATGTGATGCCTTCTTCTGACCTCTGAGCATTGCATGACATGGGTGCACTTACACACATGCAGGCAAGACACTCATAGGCATAAAATATAAAATAAAATATTTAAAAAATAAAAAAGAAGAGGATGCCTACAGAGTCAGGATACAATGATAGCATTCAGCTATGACTTATGCCTGTCTCCCGAAGTCACTCTGCTGCATGAAGTGACATCTACTTTCTGGCTTGGGCTACATGCTCAAGCTGCTTCAACTCTGTTGAATACATGAGCACATGTAAGCATAGTAAGACTTGGGGAAAAAAATTCTCTGTTACAGAGTAGACAGTTAATCAACTCTATGAGGAGGTTGGTAACACATGTGACTTTCTTTCAATTTGGATGTTTGCAAGGGGGAAGGAACTATATAATACAGTTAAAACAAAACTATGCAACTAACAAACCAGGATTCTAATTTCTAGCAATACATTTAGTTAAGGACACATGTTTTTACTTTAAGGAACCAATTTTATCAAAATTAACATCATCATACCATCAAAAGGGTAGATAGCTTTGCAGTGTCCAATAGCAGGCAAGGGATCATCATCCTCAAATTCATCTTCAAATTCACTGTGATGACCATGCTGTTGGGGTGGCCCACGGACTTCTTGGTTTGCATCATCAGTGTAACTTCCCTCAGGACTAAAGAATCAAAATTATCTCTGATCAAGTATCACAAACATGAGAACTCTTTATATGTATTATTTATAAGTTGATCCCAGGATTAGTTCAGAAAATTAGGTGCCAATAACATGGTTCCATATTAAGCCTTATTTGCATAAACACTAACTATAAAAATTGCTGTTAATATAAAATGATTCTTAGCTGAATTTCCTGAAATAAAAACTTGAAAGATTATAATGTTCTAGAACAGCAATTATATATT